CACTCACTCACCTCACTCACCTCACTCACCACACTCACCACACACTCACCACACTCACTCACCACACTCACTCACCACACTCACCACACTCACTCACCACCACACTCACCACACTCACTCACCACTTACTCACCACACTCACCACACTCACTCACCACCACACTCACCATACTCACCACACTCACTCACCTCACTCACCACACACTCACCACACTCACTCACCACACTCACTCACCACACTCACTCACCACACTCACTCACCACACTCACTCACCACTCACTCACCACACTCACTCACCACACTCACCACACACACTCACCACCACACTCAACACACACTCACCACACTCACCACACTCACCACACACTCACCACCACACTCACCACACACTCACCACACACTCACCACCACACTCACCACACTCACCACACTCACCACCACACTCACCACCACACTCACCACACACTCACCACACACTCACCACACTCACCACCACACTCACCACCACACTCACCACACACACTCACCACACTCACCACCACACTCATCACACTCACCACCACACACTCACCACACTCACCACCACACTCACCACACACTCACTCACCACACTCACTCACCACCACACTCACCACACACTCATCACACTCACCACCACACACTCACCACACTCACCACCACACTCACCACACTCACCACACACACTCACCACCACCACACTCATCACACTCACCACCACACACTCACCACACTCACCACCACACTCACCACACACTCACCACACACTCACCACCACACACTCACCACACACACTCACCACCACACTCACCACCACACTCACCACCACACACTCACCACACTCACCACCACACTCACCACCACACTCACCACACACTCACCACACACTCACCACACTCACCACCACACACTCACCACACTCACCACACACACTCACCACCACACTCACCACCACTCACCACACACACTCACCACACTCACTCACCACACTCACTCACCACCACTCACCACACTCACCACACACTCACCACACTCACCACACACTCACCACCACACACTCACCACCACACTCACCACCACACACTCACCACCACACTCACCACACACACTCACCACACTCACTCACCACCACTCACCACACTCACCACACTCACCACACACTCACCACCACACTCACCACCACCACTCACCGCTGTGGCCTCCTCGCTGCCCGAGTCTCCACCAGGATCTCAGCCCTGAGTCAGGGACCGCGGTAAACGCAGGCCGGCGTGGTGGGGACCGCAGCGAAGTGGAAAACAACGCCAGGGACCGCCACGATCAGCGCACAGGGACCACGGTGAACACGACCATGTTGACAAAGTCCCGGGGACCGCGGTGATTTGTCAGTGAAAATTTACATTTGATCAGAGTCAGCATATCTTTTATCCGCAGGAATCCGATGAGCTATGAAGCTCTTTTTTATTGGTGAGGCAGTGTCTCACCAGGGCCGGTACATCAGCATTCAATCCTTGTTGGACCCCCCCTTTCCGCTTGGCCTGATGAAGGCCGCTTGTGTTGTGATCGAAACGTCGTGGGTTTTTTTTATTTAAACAATTATTTTCTATCTACGTGACTTTACCGAAAGAACCAAAGAAAATGAATTCCTACAGTCACGAAAGTTTTAAGACAAAATGTAAAGGTATGATAAACACTACACTATACACAATACTATACACTACACTACAATACTATGCACTACTGTACTGCTATACACCACACTAGACACTACACTACTGTCCACTACACTATACACTACACTGCTATACACTACAATACTATACACTACGATACACTGAACTAGACTACTATACACTACACTATACACTAGACTATTATACACTATACACTACACTAGTATACACTACTGTACACTACACTGCTATACACTACAATACTGTACGCTACACTCTTATACACTATTATACACTACACTACTATACACTACAATACTATACACTGCACTATACACTACACTATACACTACACTATACACTACACTGCTATACACTGCACTATACACTACACTATACACTACACTATACACTGCACGATACACTACACTGATATACACTACACTATACACTGCACTATACACTACACTATACACTGCATTATACACTACACTACTATACACTACACTGCCATACACTACACTGCACTATACACTACACTGCACTATACACTGCACTATACACTACACTATACACTGCACTATACACTATACACTACACTGCTATACACTGCACTATACACTACACTATACACTGCACTATACACTACACTGCTATACACTACACTGCACTATACACTACACTAGTATGCACTACACTACTATACCATACCTGTAAACCCATGCGGTTTACCCGTATTCCTGTACAAGTGTACAGGGAAATTGAGTGTGCAGGTCCATACGGCGTACAGCTGTTTCAATACGGCCAGAAATAAGAACAATAGTGTCTATTTGTTTGTGTTTCTCCCTTGTGATGCGACTTTGTAAGACGAACGTTGAGATTTATAAGGGGCACGGGGTGATCAAGAAGGTGTGAGTTGGTGTGTAGTAAGGTAGGGGGCACTGATCAGGGGCTGACAGCTCTGAGCTCGACACCGTGAGCCCCCTCCCTCGCCTGGTCTACAGGAGGTCGTGGGTTCTATCACGACCCTGACCATGCCTGCTGCTGCTGCTGTATATTTGGAGTTTGTGTCTCTCTCTGTGGTGAGATGTTAACTCCCTCGCCTGGTCTACAGGAGGTCGTGGGTTCTATCACGACCCTGACGATGCCTGCTGCTGTATATTTGGAGTTTGCGTGTCTCCCTCTCTGTGGTGAGATGTTAACTCCCTCGCCTGGTATGCAGGAGGTCGTGGGTTCTATAACGACCCTGACGATGCCTGCTGTGTATTTGGAGTTTGCGTGTCTCTCTCTCCCCGTGGTCGTGTGGATTTTCTCCGGGTCCTCCGGGATTTTCCCCATACACGTTTCAAAACACGCGAGTATTTGCTGCTAGAACTTCCCACACGATGATGGATGCTGATAAAGCCGCCACTTCGTTGGGCTATCGTTTGCGATTGCCAAGTCGCTTCTGACAAAGAGCTACACACCTCAGTGGGGCCCTTAGCTGGTGACATAGCAGTTTAGTTTTAGTTTAGAGTGACCGCCAGTGCAAGCCAGGAGTGTTGCAGCCCCAGGAATCTACTGCAGGGTCACACCAGATTGCTAGTGCAGCGGTGGGCGCAAGTTCAGACAATTGGGGTCCACTCACTCCGTTGCGTCTACCCGTTCACTGAATCCATCTGTATGGAGCTTCCAGTGCCATCCTGTCACGTGCGTGCGTGACTTTTCCAAATCACCTCCCTCGTGGAAGCCATTCATGGACATTCGCCAAACACCCCAGTGCAGTGCCCTCTTGAAAATAATCCCGTGATGTTTTTTTTTACTGACAAGAGAGACTCTACAGAGAGACGTACACACTCACAAATGGAGCACTCGTTCCACGTGCTGGTGGTGGTGGCGATGTACGTGGCTGCCTGGAATCACTCACTGGAGGCAGCGAGGGTTTGTGGATCACCGCGCAGAAGTCGTGAAACTCCCTTCCCGTGCGTGTAGAGGAGCCGCAACTCTGTCTCGCCAGGAGAAGGCGGTGGAGAGCAAACACGCGGACTCCCCGTTCCGTCTGCACGGGATACAGCGTTTCCCCCTCACACGCGTGGACTTTCTCCAGGTGCTCTGGTTTCTTCCACATTCGCACGTGTTTAAAACACCCATTACGTTCCCGATAAAACCTTAATAGACAGAGGACCTCAGAGCTTGGGCAATCGTTGGCGGGAGCTCGCAGCGCGGCTGCCTTCCCGCTGGTCCGCGGTTCCTCGCGAGTCGCTCCCTCCCCACGCGAGTTAGCGAATACCGCGCGGCGCGTTAACAAGTTGACATCAATATCGCGTGGCGGTGTTGTTACGTTGCACTTTGGCCAATGTCTCCACCACTCCTGCGCGAAGCAGCCTCCTGCCCTCGCTAATTTTACACGCGCCTTGCAGAAACGTCCACTGCATTCACCCGTGAGCAACCCCATGCCATCCACACTGGCTAATTACACGTGTGTTTTATTTAAAATAAAACTCGGCGGGAGCTTTCACAAGTTTAAAACGTGAGAAAACACTCCTTGCATTGCTAAGACATTCACATTTGTGCGCACAGCAAAGCCACGATGTATGTCTCTCACCACCCCGTTAAACGTCGTTTCGCGAACAAGTCGTCAGACCGCCACCCGAGCTGCGTCACCTCAACCCCCTCCCACACGCTCGCTCGCTCACGTCGCTCTAAGGCGTCGTTCATCCTTTCTCGTTATCCGTCGCCTCCAGCACCACCACCACCCGAGTAAATCGCTTCGATAGTCGTCACGCATTTCAGGAACGCGTCAGCGACGTAAAGCGGAGGTGGCGTTTTGGTGCATTATTACTTCCAGTTGGGTTGAAGAAAATATACTTTGGTTTTATTTCGATTCTCTTGATTTGACAGATTCTCTACGCACCAAAGGATGCGTCGTTCGCACAGCTGTTGACAGCATGCCACCATGCCACCACTGTGTTTTTTTTGTATCTTGGGGGAGGGGGTCGGTATTTATTGACGTGCATTTTTTTCCAAGTTGGCTCGAGTCTCATTGTCAAAATAAGCACCGCAAACCCAACCGGCAATGCCCCACCGGGGTCGGAAGGCGGCCAGTTGGACAGCAGAGGCACGGAGAGAGAAACCTCGGGGAAGCGGGCAGAATGTGCCGCTCACATCTCTCGCCTCGCCATGGCCCAAGGAATTAAGAAGAGCGCACGCCGCTTGCGTCAATGGTGCTGAACGAGGAATATCTACGCGAAGCTCACGGCCAGCAGAAATGCCCGCGGCATTATGAAGGACCGCGCGGTGACCGCGCGGTGACCGCGCGGTGACCGCGCGGTCACCGCGCGGTGACCGCGCGGTGACCGCGCGGTGACCGTACGCCGACAGAGGCCTCGAGATGCCTCCAATTGCACGTGGGCCGCAGGAATTGGGTGCAAAAAGAGTAGTTTGATTGTTCTTTCGCTCGGAGTCATCGGCGCACAGAGTGAGGCCAGAAAAATCGCTGATCACGAGGGCCTCGTTTTAATCTCGGGGGGGACGGGAGCCCAAGATTTCAGCCTTGGACTCTGGACGTCGGTGATCAGAATTGGCCATTACGAGCCCCCATTACCAAAATCGAGTCACGCGTTTTTGTGTTTGCTCTCTCGTTTCGAGAACGAGCACAGACGGCACAGTGTTGCGTAATGCAGTACAGTGCTGCATTCTGAGCCACAGTGCCGAGTTCGTAAAAAAAAATTCAAAGTGTAAAAACTGTGCAATCGTATAATCGTCTATAATCGTCTCATGCGCGACTCAATTAAAAGTCCACCGGTAAACGCGAGCGTGGACATTGTATTGCTACGGACGATGCTCACCTGGCGTGGTGGAGCACCGCGTGGTACGGATAATCAGCAAAGTAAAAAAAAACGTGCCCCTCCGATCGGTATCCAACAGGCCTGAAAGGGGATTGTGGTTAGAGGCAGGGAAATTGGAAGGGATTGGAGGAGAAATGATGCATCGCTGTCAACCCGTACGGTTTACCCCGTATTCTTGTTCAGGGAATTTGAGTTTTCAGGTGAATACGGCGTAGAGCCGTAACATAATTTCTGTCTATTTGTCTGCGTTTCTCCCTTGCGATGGGACTTTTTTAGGATGAACGTTGAGATTTATAAGGGGCACAGGGTGACCAATAAAGTCTGAATAGGTCTGTAATAAGGTAGGGCACTGATAAGGGCTTGACAGGTATGATAAACACTACACTATACACTACACTATTGTACACTGCACTGCTATACACTACAATACTATCACTACTTACACAAATACTAAAATGGAAAAGAGCGGGTGACGGAAGATGATTGACAGGGAGTTCGTTTAAGGAGAGCGGGAAGGTGATTGGCTGGAGAGAAAGTGGGTCAAGGAACCTTCGAGAAAGGGGGCTTGAGGGATATAAAGGTGGAGGGGGGGGGGAACGCGAGAGCCCGAGACGCTTGGGGTGAAGGGAATCCTTGAAGACCCCGCGGGTGTCTCGTGCTGGAAAGAAAAACATACTCCCAAATGTTGAAGACTGCTGTGTCGGGTGTTACTACGTTAGCAATGATTCACCACCCACCACGTGATTAGATGTACACTTGAGTCTCACAGCCACGACGATTAGCTTCCCTTCAACGCATCGTCACGCTACTCCAGTCGCGGTTCCATGCGTTACTTGCCGCTGCTGTGACGGTAACAGTGAGTGGCATCTTAAGTGGGCGGCATGATTTACACGGCAGCTCGGAAAATGAAAAATAAAATCCGCGTCCCTCCAACTCGTCAATTCGGTCAATTGCGCGACGCGCCCCCCGCGGTTGGCGTTGACTCTCAACGTCCGTGAGGGGGACGCGGACGAAAGCCAAAACTTTGGGATTTGTCGCCAAATTTTTAGAAGAAGATTTTAACCGTGTGGCTAAAACCTGAAATCTCCTGTCCACCACGATGGGACGAGTGGCTGGCCATGATGACTTCTCAAACATTCACATATGTTATTTATGTATATGTTGGTTTACATAAATATATACACGCACGCATTTTTATACACGTGTACAATGTAAGGTTCCTAGCAAAGGATGCTAAAAGGTGGACTCCCCGCCCAAGTGGTGGAGCAGTCGCAGCAGCAGCTGCTGCTGCTGCCGGTGTCGAGTTAAAAGTGCTCACAGCAAGGACACAAGGTCGATCTGAACCCCGAACAACCGGCGAAGGTCCTCGCACTCACAACCCCCCCCACACTGCCGCTGGGCACGCGGTGGGACTGCGACGCGATTCCCGGTTCACAGTGTCGGGAGCGATGGGGTCGGGAGCGATGGGTTAGGAGGTGGCGGGGTCAACGGTGGTGGTTGGGTATGGGGTGACGGGGTCGGGGGCGACGGGGTCGGAGGTGACGGGGTCGGAGGTGACGGGGTCGGAGGCGATGGGTTTGGGGGCGATGGGATCGGATGCGATGGGTTTGGGGGTGATGGGGTCGGAGGTGATGATGTCGGGATTGATGGGGTCGGGGGATACGGGGTCGGGGGATACGGGGTCGGAGGTGACGAGGTCGGAGGCGACGAGGTCGGAGGTGAAGGGGTCCGCTCCCTTGCCCGAGCGCCGTCGCCTGACGAAGGTGAACGCGGCGCGGCACAGGAACGCCACAGCCAGCACGACGAAGTAGCCGCAGTAGACGTAGAACTGCGCTCGTCAGGCACGCGGTGCGCAGACACGCGGCGCATGACGGGCACGGGCGACGGAGAGAGCGTGGCGGTGGGGGGGTTGGGGGGGAGAGGGAGGGAAGAGAGAGGGAGCGGGGAGAGCAGAGACAGGAGGGAGGGCAGTAAGAGAGAGAGGGAGCGGAGAGAGCAGAGACAGGAGGGAGGGCAGTGAGAGGGGAAAACAAAGTGAAGGGGTGCGAACTGAGAGAATGAGGAGGGGAGAGTCAAGGGAGTGCTACAGCGCAGCAACTGCAACCACCGGGGTCGACCACTGAGCACTGTAGATCCGGCTGTGAAAGAAGGTGGATTAATGTGGAGTGGTGGATTGACAGTGAGTGTGGTGGACTCACAGTTAGTCTGGTGGATTCGGGGTTAGGGTGGTGGACTCGGGGTTAGTGTGGTAGACTCGGGTTAGGGTGGTGGACTCGGGGTTAGTGTGGTAGACTCGGGGTTAGTGTGGTGGACTCGGGGTTAGTGTGGTGGACTCGGGGTTAGTGTGGTGGACTCGGGGTTAGTGTGGTGGACTCGGGGTTAGTGAGGTGAACTCGGGGTTAGTGTGGTGGACTCGGGGTTAGTGTGGTGGACTCGGGGTTAGGGTGGTGGACTCGCGGTTAGCGGGGTGGTGGACTCGCGGTTAGCGAGGTGGTGGACCGCTAGCGGGTGCCGAGCCGAGCCCCATTTCCCCGCCGGGGCTACGCGTTGCCACCTCACCTGGTCGTGCACGGAAAGCGAGAGGGGGCCGAGCTTGTCGCACACGACGAGCGTCATGATGGTCTGCAGCACGGTGGCGAGGAACGTGCTCACCCCGAACACCAGCGCGCTGCACTCACGCGTCAGCTCCTTGCCGATCTGGAACCTGCGCGAGACCGCACGCGACGCCCGTTCGCCTCGAATCACGCCACCCCCTCGCCGGATCACGGCGGCGGCCTCGCTCCCACGCCACGGACGCAAGAGAAGGCCGGAGGAGAGAGCCCGGACCGCGGCGGAACGTCAAAACAAAGTCAACGTCTCTCGTACGGCGACCCTACCGGTCGAACTCCCCCCCCCACCCCTCCCCGGTCGCGACCTTCCACGCCGTCATCGGTCGACCATCAACCGAATCGGGACCGGGGGGTGGGGGCCTTGCGGCCGATGCGACCACTCGATGCCACAATAAAATGACGCCATCAAAGATTCGGCGGCCTGTGAGTGGCGCGGTCGAGAATGCCAAACCATCGACCGCATGGTAAACACTCTGCCGAAGCCGTCTTCACTCATCTAGAGGAGGAACGGATGAGATCCACTCTGCTTCTGAACCAGACAACTGGGTGGATAACAACATCTAAAACCGCATCTGTAATCGTCCGCTTTGAAGGAGCGAAGACAGCAGCCGTTGACGATGTGTGCCGACCGTTTGGAATCGGTGGCCGCGCAATCTTCGATGGTGCCATCTGTGGAATCGGGTTGCTGCATCGGCCTCGTGGCCCGCTCCCGATTCGGTCGACGGTCGACCATTGGAAGGTTGAACCCGGGATGTTCGACGGCAGGGCCCAGACGTGTCTCGTTGACGTAGACCGCAGTCCAGGCTGCTACACCTGAACGTGTCGAGCGTTTATTTTTTTACCCGTGCACAATCGAATTCGCGTGCTGTGCGTATAATTTGTAACGTGCCCAGTTTTCACGCAGAGGAGCGGGCAACCCCAGGCAAGCGGGAAGGCAGCCGGAATCGTCGTCAACTTTGCCCAAGCTCCGTGGCCCTGTATATATTGGGATGTTTGGCGACTGTTTGTGCCGTACACGTGGGAGGAAATCGGGAGCACCCCACCGCCATCGCACCCTGGCCACGAAGCCGGCGACTTCGGCAACCACGGGCGGGCAGGCAGGGAGTTTTAGGAATCGGTTTGCGATCCGCCAACCCTCCTCCTCGCCTCCTCCACGACCGCCGGATCGCAGCGCCGGCCGTCACGTCTGGGCGGGGGGGGGGGGGGGCGGCGGTGTTCGCGGCGCTTCCCGTACGTGGCGACGGTGAGCAGGAGCTGGTGCACCGTGCGGAAGAGCACGTAGGCGGCGTAGCACAGCCAGATGCTGCGCGTGACGTTCATGGCGTAGAGCAGCGCCGCCTCCAGCGCCACCACCACGCCGAGCAGCAGCTCCCCCCACACGGCCCAGCGCACGCGCAGGAAGCCCACGGCCAGCGACGCCAGCGCACCTTGCCACCCGCACACACGCACACACGCAGACACCACCTTATATACACACAGACACACACGCAGACACAACCTCATACACAACAACAACAACCGCCATTCGCCACGAAGTGGCGGTGACGTCACCACGACGCTTGTGCCAGGACATGTGCAACTTGAGGCCACGTGAAGTGTCGAACGCCCGCGGGCAGGAGGTCACGGGGCAGACCCAAGTGCCACGGGTCGACTGACTAAGATGACTGAGATGACTGGCTGATGCACCACCTGTGCCCCCTACTGTGCCAACCTGCTGTGCTTTAGCCACCCGGCGCTCCGGTCGTTGTTGTGAGCGTCACTTCTCCGCCCTCCGTTGTTGTTGGAGGGCGACTGCCTCCAACTGCCCAGTAGCGTCCTTCACGAACCTCCTCCACAGAGGCCGATCTTGACACCGCTGGTACCAGTCATCGGCAAGTCCATTCAGCTCCACGTCCTCCTGTACCACATCACTCCATCTCTTCTCTAGCCCGTGCCACGCCCATTTAGCCCCCTCGATCCGGCCGAACAAAAGCTGTTTCGGCATGTGGTGGCTGGGCATGTGTGTGTGTACATGACCCAGCCAACGCAGTCTTGCCTGCCGGAGGAGCTCACCGATGGGACCTTGCCCAGATCTTTCCAGGATTTGTGAGCTCACACAATCCAGCCTGGTTAAACCCAGGCTAGCCTAAATGTTTCTAACCGGCAAAGATGTTCCATTAGGGGGGTCCACATTTGGCAAGCATAGAGAAGGGAGGGAATGACCGTGGCCGAGAAGACCTGAAGCTTAGTGCGGAGCGACAGACCAGGTAGCTTCCACACAGCGTTACGCAACTGATGAAAAGATATTGCCGCTCGACTGATTCGGAGTGAGACCTCTGCTGTTAAACTGGAGCCGGTCATAAGCACATTGCCCAGGTATGGGAAACTCTCCACTCTCTCCACAACTGCCCCATCACCGATTGGGAGTTGTGAGGGTGGAGTGTCCGATGGTACAAAATACCCAGGCAAGTGCTTCGTTATGGTGGGGCTGATGGTAAGGCCCCATCTCTTAGTGGCACGCTCCAGTCTCAGCAGCAGCGTCTCTAACTCCTCCTCTGAATGAGCAGCTATTACCAAATCATCGGCATACATAACGTGGTTAAGCAATAGGGAGCCATCCCTTGACCGCACCCGGGCATCGATCAGCCTCCCATTATATCTGTACCATATGGAGATTCCCCCGGTACAGCTATTGAAGGCTTCACGAACTACGTGGTCAAAATAGATGTTAAATAATGTGGGAGCCAGAGGACATCCCTGTCGCACCCCAAGGTGTACAGGGAAGGGCTCCGACTCCCGGCCACGTAGTTTTACGCGGGCTCGCTCACCATCATGAAGGTCCTTAATGATCATGAGCAGAGGGTCAGGTACTCCAAAAGCACGACGAACAACCCAGAGCCCAGGCCTACTGATGGTATCATAGGCCTTGACCAGGTCAATAAAGCAGAGATGTAGGTCTTGCTGGAATTACCTACACCTCTGCTGTAGCAGACAGACAGAAAATATGGCATCTGTGCAGGACCGCCCTTTCCTGAAACCGCATTTGGGGCTCCGCAAGCCTCTCCTCAGCGTGCCTGGCAAGGCAATGTTGAATAATCCTTGCCAGGACCATTCCCGGCACACTGAGGAGTGAGATGCCCCTGTAGTTGTTACAGTCTGTGCGGTCCCCCTTCTTAAAGAGGGGGACTACCAGGGCATCCTTCCAATCCTGCGGAACCCGTCCAGTGGTCCAGACTGTTGTTATGATGTCATATAGGGCAGTCTGTGCACAAACGCCACCCTCCCTCAGCATTTCGCTTGGGAGATCATCTCTGCCCGCTGCCTTTCCTGGTCTCAGACTCCGGATCACCTTCAGTACTTCCTCAACAGATGGCACTTCAGCCAGCCACTCACAGGGGGTGACTTCTTCCAATATTTGAGGCACCGCAGCCTCAGCAGGGTCATCCTCACTTTGTGCCACGATGTTTTCCTGGCTGAGGGATTTTCCCTCCCCCAGGACCTCACAAAAATGCTCAGCAAATCTGCAAACCTGTTCCTGGGGGTCGGAGATTGGATCACCGTTTTTTCCCCTAAGGATGGTAATAGTTGTGGCGCTGCAGGTTACCTTTTTGATGGAGTTAAATAGAGATTTGTGATCGTGGGCCACTGAGGCAGACTCCATCTCCTCAGCAACCCACGACCACCCATCCTTGCAGCGACTCACGGCTCTCAGAACCTCCGAGTGAAGGCTGCGGTAAGCCTCCTCCATTCTCTGACGTGGGATTCTGTAGCCGATGACAGTGGGCCTGTCGCTTTTTCTCAACTATCCTGAATACCTCCTCTGTCAGCCAGGGTCTCTGGGGAGGTCTGGACCGCGTACCCAAAGCAGTCAATGCAGCTGGACGAGTGACATTCCTAAACCTCGCCCATTTACCCTCGACCTCCGGAGGAGTGGGGGACGATGCCAACCCCAGCCGCAGGCGATGATGAAATTCTCGCTTGCAACTTTCATCAGATAACTGAGACCAGGCCACTTTAGGTTGGAATGGGGTCCTGGGTGTACACCCACCACCACAGACACACAGGCAGACACAACCTCATATACAAAGATCCCCCGTGTAGCCTTAACAGACTGTAGGGGCAAGTGCTGTTAGCGAGCACCAATGAAGGCCTATATACACACACACAGACACACACGAAGACACACGCTTCCCACCTCTCCTACCCCTCCCCTCCACTGTAATGCTATCGTCGTTGAGAATGTATCTGCATTATAATTACTTTGGCAGATTTAAATTTGTATTTTCTTCAGAGATACAGCATGGTATTTGATGGTCATTTATATATTTCACTTAAATTTTCTTTCAAAAAAGATAATCTTCATATTGCGATTATGACTTGCAAGCTATTTTTGTAATTTCCCTTATCTCTCATTGTTTATCCTTCGTTTATTTTACTCTGATGCGTTTGTCAGAGAAGCGGCGGTGTTGTTTTTTGTCGATGAAACGCCGATTTAAGAGCTCCTTGGCTCACAGGGAACTTCGAAATAACCTTGAAACCGAAACGGAACGTCGTTCGGCCGAGCCAGCGATCGTGTCCCGCAAATATCGTCGGGATGTGTCCTCCTGTGAACATCGCAGCAAAACCCAGGACCAGTCACGAACATCGGCATCTGCCTGTCGGGTGGCAGGGATCGATCTGTGTCGAGACCAGATAGCCCGGCACCGCCACGTTGAGCTTCCCCGCACGAGACTGCGCATGGTGCTGACCGACAAACCACCCCAGGGTGTTAATAAAGAATTAAAGCTTTCGTGACTGCATAAATTACTCATTGGTTTTTTCGGTAAAGTCACGTATGTAGAAATACCATAAAATTATATTAAAATAAATCAATCACGACGTTTCGACCGCAACACAAGCGATCTTCATCAGGTGTAAAAAACAAACAGCGAGGGAGCATATAGGGTGACTTCAACGCAACACATAGAGAGCGCCAAACTGCATGGAGGTAAATACAACAAGATGAGAGACGAGAATTCAACAAACCTAAGAAAAATTTACGTGATGCAAAACCAGTCAGGCCAACAACACAGTTATACACTTGCCTGGCGGACCACGAATTTCAGAAGAGTGCTAAATTTCGTGTTCATCCTCTGGATTGAACATACCAGCATAGACAGAGTGAACAAATACGAGGTACAAGTCAGCAGAAATACATGTACAGGGACACCAAGAGGCAATAAGGGGAAAGACGGACAGAGAAGCAATAAAAAGGGCCGGCGGGGTGAACAGACAGAGGCTTAAAATAAGCAGTGGGGGGAGGGGCCGAAGAGAGCAAGGGGCACAATCAGTTTAGGACAGAATTGTAAAGGTAACTTCCCTGTAATTGATTTATTTTAATATAATTTTATGGTATTTCTACATACGTGACTTTACCGAAAAAAACCAATGAGTACCCCCAGGGTGGTTCCACAGCGGAGGAAAAGTTCAGGTGCAGGGTGGGGGTGGAGAGCCACGCAGGCTCATCCCGTTGTGTGCTTGAAGGTTGATGACGGGCAGGGCAAGGGGCACGGGGAGGTCAGGGCAGGACCACGCACGGAGCTCCGGTCCCAGGCTTCAGCAGGGACTCTGCCCGGAACGGGCCTCGGCTCACGTGAGGACCGAACCCTGATGACACGGGACACGTGGAGGGGGATGTCGGCTTAGCCATTGTTACTTTTACCCTCCGCTAATGGCGCGAATGGTTAATTATCTCTCTATGGAGGTTCAAAAACCCCACTGGCAATTCGATTAATCATTGTGATTCAGGGTCCTGCTCTTTGATTCGAACGTTGATCCAGAATCTTGTTTCTACCATCTCGTCTTCTGTATCGCTCTCCTTGTAGAGTTTTGCTTTCGCCGTTTGCCTGAAATGATGTAACATGAGAATAGCATTTGCATATACAGGAGAACCCCTCTTAACGACCAACCCTGTTCATCGTTTAACGGCAGGCCTCCATTGAGCCCAATGTGTAGTGTATAGTGTAGTGTATAGTGTAGTGTATAGTGTAGTGTATAGTAGTGTATAATGTAGTATAGTGTAGTGTATAGTAGTGTATAGTGGAGTGTATAGTAGTGTAGTGTATAGTAGTGTATAGTGTAGTGTATAGTGTAGTGTATAGTAGTGTATAGTAGTGTGTAGTGTATAGTAGTGTAGTGTATAGTAGTGTATAGTGTAGTGTATAGTGTAGTGTATAGTAGTGTATAGTAGTGTAGTGTATAGTGTAGTGTATAGTAGTGTAGTGTATAGTAGTGTAGTGTATAGTAGTGTAGTGTATAGTAGTGTATAATGTAGTGTATAGTAGTGTAGTGTCAAGTAGTGTATATAGTAGTGTAAAGCAGTGATGTGCGGTGAGGTCGATGGCTGGGGATGCACTGGCTAGTGTCAGACCCAGATTCACACACTGAGGGGGGCGTGGCCTCACGGAGGGGGGCGTGGCATCACTAAGGGGGCGTGTCCTCACTGAGGGGGCGTGTTAGACACGTCCCCCGCAGCGTGTTAGACACGTCCCCCTCAGTGAGGCAGATGTGATAGCTGCCTCCCCTGGTGCTTTTTCATTGCAGTTTCATGACGAGACCAGCGAGCCTAAATATCTTTATACACATACGTGAAATTAGTTACCTGGAGTATGGAAGGCGAGGACATGAAATGAAGGGGTCTACAAACATTACATTGGTGACATACTGAGATAGTAACAGGCACGCGCTTATTGCCTGCGCTCCATCCAGCTACTGAGGGGTTGCGCAATCAGAGGGGAGGCTGAGCTCGTCGCTGCCTCACCTCTCGTCTCGTCCTGTATTTGCAGCGGAGCTCCGCAAATTTGGCGATTTTGACTCTAAAAATGATTGGAATCGTATAGAAATTATATTTATAACACAGATCAGTGGAACAATCTTAATATCTATTTAATTTGATAATTCTTTTTTTTTTACTTTTCGTAACAGCCATTTTCATTGGAGTATGACAGGTGAGGCTCTGCCTCCCCTGCCTCCCCTGACCGCACGTCCCTGGTGTATAGTAGTGTAGTGTATAGTGTAGTGTAGTGCCTCCATAGAGCCCAATGTGTTCGCTTACCGACCATTCCCCTGTTAACCACGGGCTGTTGTAGGTACAGTAAATATCTAAATTAATGCATTTATTTACCGTGTTTCTTTTAATATTATTTCCATAATGTTGTTAGTATCTTTATGTATTAATATCCATTGTTTAAATATTGTAAAGTGTGCTTTTTGGGTGAAAAAGGGTAACTTTCAATGGTATCGGAACGCATAAAGCCTTTAACGTGCGTTCCCTATCCTCGCTTGACGACCAACTCACTGAACGGCCGGCTACGTGGAGCCAACCCCCTCCGTTGAGAGGAGGGGGTTCTACTACACGGTGTTGAGATACATTTGATTCAAACACGCAAGATCCTGTGCCTATATTGTGTGAGCGTTAGCAAATAGATATTGATGCGTTAGACTCCCAGTATCCACGTGACAGGACAGGTGGGGTTCATGGCTCTTGACCTCTTGACCCCAGTCTACATCAATAACTTTATGCCAACAGGAAGGTGCGTCTCTGTCGCCTACAGCAGAGCCTCTAGAGCAGTGCTTCTTAACCTGGGGGTGTGCCCAGGGCCCACCCCCACCCACTGGGGGTGCCCCCACCCACCACCTGGGGGTGCGAGATGCCCTTGCTGGGGGTAGCGAGATGTGGCCAGATTTTTGTTCGAAAGTAAATCATCGAAAGCACAAATTAAGCCACAGGGCACGTGAACCTACAACTTACTTTGTTTCATCAGATCCTATGTATTTATTAACATAAATGAAAAATTGCGATTTTGAAACAAAGGGGTGCAAGGCTAGCTGAGGGGGGAGGGGGGTTGAGGGGAGAGGGGGGGTGGTGCGACCTCACTCAGCAGGGTGGACGCCGCCTCCGTGGCGCCGTTGTACACGCGGGGGTTGTCGCGCGACGGCTCCACCTCGTCCCACAGCAGCTGCACGTAGTAGATGACCATGTAGTACCCGGTCATGCCGAACACCCACCAGGCGCACCACGAGCACAGGCTGGGCGACGAGGCGACGGCGCGGCCCGCCCTGCGCAGCCACTTGAGGTACGTGGCGGCGGCCGCCCGTCCGCGTCCCCGCCTCCCCCCGGCCCGGCCGACGCGGCCCTCGGCGCTCACGGCGGCGGAGCCACCCCCTCCGGCGGGCTCCGCGTCGCCGTTCGCGAGCGGCCCCCGCTCGGGGCGACGCCCGTCGTCGCCGTCGTCGCCGTCGCCGCCGTCGCCGGCGGCGGCGACGGCGGCGGCGCCCGGCGGGGGCCGGTGGAAGAAGAGGCTGCGGCGGGGCCACGGCAAGAACAGCGAGAAGAGGAAGGAGACGGAGACGAAGCCCAGGGAGACGCGGTTGAGCGTCCCGTAGGAGACCCCCCACACCGTCACGCACAGCTGCCCCAGCACGGAGCTGCTGAAGAGGCCAGAGGAGGGTGGCCCGCGCGCGACACGCTCGTCACGCGCTGCACGTGGCCCGTCTCCACGAGCGCGAAGAGTATCGGCGAGAAGGCCACGCGCGCCGCCATGCTCACGCCGTAGAAGAACTCCACGAATTGGATGCCGAGGATGCCCTGCGTGAACAGCAGGAGCAGCCACACGGCCACCAAGCTGGCGCTCTGCAGCACCAGCATGGGCTTGTAGCGCAGCAGGTCGGACAGCAGGAAGACGGGCACCAGCACGGCCATGTAGGAGTAGACGAGCACCGGCATCACCTCGTTGGCGATCTGGGCCCGCCGGGGGCAGCAGCAGCAGCAACAACAACAACAACAAACGAGCGGCGTCAAGGCTCGCGCTCCCGTCACCGCCGGCGCGGGACCGCCCCGTTCGGTCGCGCGTTCGCCGCTCGAGCCGCCCTGGTTAGCACCGCCGGTTCGTCCGGTGCGTCGACCGTAAACGGCAAGCTCCGTCCGCTTCACAGTGGACGTGAAGGAGACCCCGTGGCGTCATTCGCGAAAGGTGGAAAAACCCAGCAACCGTCGCCACGGACGACGAAGCTCCCGCTCGCTACGACCGTGAGAGGCAGCAGCGCCCCTTCCCTGACCTGGTGATGGCGGCTCTGTGCTATGAGAATGGCACGGATATCGAACGAGCTCGTGGTTTGAATCCAGCTGAAGGAACGCTCCGCTGGAGCTCTCTCTGCAGATCCTCGCTTCTACCCGCACGATGGCTCTCGTGACTTGTGCTATTCTGTGATTGGAATTTACCTACGCTCATTCCGGGCTTCCTCCTATAGTTTGCATTCTATCTATAGTGCGAGTGTATTCACTATTATTACGAAAGGTTTTTTTTACCATATTTCAATTTTTTTGTATTACTGTCCGTCCCACCCTCCAGTTAGACAGCCAGCCAGCAAAACTTTTTTATATTGTATGAGCTCAAGACACTCGTGCATCATTGTTCACTAAAACAAAAACTGCCGCGTGTGACTATAAATACAATGTATGACAGGGGGCAGATATTGATCTATATTTCAAATGGGCTTTGTGTGATTGTGGGTGAGTGAAGGTATTTGTTATTTTTTCCACTTGTTTCAGTCCAAGGTTTTGGGTTATGACAATCCTAACCCAGGCCCATACTCACACGTCTGCTTACCTGCTCAACCACCTTGCTCATAGGAGAGATGTTAACTACCTCGCCTTTTATGCAGGAGGTTGTGGGTTTAATCCTGACCCTGACGCCTGTATATTTGGAGCCTGCATGTTCTCCCCGTGGTCGCGTGGATTTTTCTCTGGGTCCTCCGGTTTTCCCCTCCACATTTAGAATGAACGTCAAGCGTTTAAGAGTATTTGGCTGCTATACATTTCCGCGTGATAAGCCACTTTTGTTGCGCTATCATTTGTGATGGCCAGTTCACTTCTGGAAAAGAGCTACGTAGCCCAGTGGGGCCTTACCTGCATGGGTAAAATAGTCTTAAATAGTCTCAATAACTTTAAAATAAAAATAATGGGCCAAGTGTTGGATAATATCCCGTCTAGAAGGGCCAATGCAATCATGCCTATTATATATTTAATATACACGTTATTTTTTTTAATTCAGGGTATTAGTATTATTATTGATGAGTCTGTCGAGTTTATGTTATTTGTTCTTGTCTAACGCTTCATTGCCAACACAGTTAAGCGTTTTAGTTTAGTTTAATAAATGTTCAATGGCTCAGGTGTTGACCCACGCTCGCTGGCTCGCTCGCTCACCCAAAACACTGGCCAAAATCACCCTCGCCCCTGTTCGCCCAATCGCTCGCCATAAGCGCTCCCCAAACGACGCACGAAACTCGCCCGTCGGCCCGACGGCTCGCCAGCCCATTCGCGCCCTCGCTCGCCGAACCACGCACGCGTCCACAATTCACCGAACCGGACCGCGGTTCCATCCGTTAGGAATGCGCGTCCGAGCTCGCCGCGTTCGCTCTCAACACGCAGCCGCTTAGCGCTGTACCGGTAACCAATTGGCACGTTTTTGAGTATCACGTGATGCAACCACCTTGCCGGTTGGCTGTGTCGAGCAGCGGCGGGTTTAACGACACGTTCATACGCTTTAACATGTTTAATCGTAATTAGTATGCTTTGTTTCACTGATTGATCAATCGGTTTTGGATATGCATTGTTGTTTTTTTTGGAGTGATTCTCACACGAGCCCTCTTGGGTTTTCCAAGCTCACCTGCATCACCTTTTTAAAACTGTTTTTAATTGCACTGTTTGTCTGTGCGAACAATAGAATATATACGCTCTATTCTAACCCCCCCCCGCCTCCCCATTTATTGTGGACGCCTCACCTGCTCGCGTGTCAGGTTCTTGTCCGGGCTGAGCAGGAAGGGCATGAGGAAAGACTCGGCCGGCCTCAGCTGAGACACGAAGCCGTAGGTGCAGACTATCAGCGCCGGGCACCACCAGGTGGAGCTGGCCATAGCGCCGACCGACTCGCTCCTGGTTCACAAACACAAAGATCCCCCGCCGCCCGCCGCGTAGCCTCAACAGACAGTCAGGGCGAGTGCTGTTGACGAGTGGCGCCTATGACGGGCTAGCACGGTGCACCGGTGGGTGGGTGGCCAGCAACCACGCCCGGCCGCCTTTGTCGCCCCAGTGGCGATGTTTATACGTCGCACCGGGTACTCAGTTGAGGCTGAGTCGACCTAGGGGAGGCCCAGAACCGGTTCAGATTATATTCGACCCCGATGTTGGCCGTGAGTGGGGATCGAACTCGGGTTGCCGGGTTTGTAGCGCGGTGCGCTAACCACTGCGCCACCGCTCTCTATATGAAGACAAACATCCCCCATATAGCCTTTAATAGACTGTTGGGGCAAGTGCTGTTAGTGAGCAGCACCTCTGACAGCCGGCATAGAGAATGAGGGGGTGGGTGGCGAACGCCACGCCCGGCAGCCTTGATGTCTCCCGAGTGGCGATGTTTATACTCGTTTGAGGCCCGGGACTGCTTAACAAATAATTCATCTTTTGATTTAAAGCTTTCGTGACTGCAGTAATTCATATTCTTAGTTTTTTCGGTAAAGTCACGTTGAAGAGAAACAACAAAATAACAAAATATATATAAAACAATAAAAAATTCTCACGACGTTTCGACCATAACTCAAACGGTCATCATCAGGTGTGTCGGTTTGCATAAATTTATTTTGAAAACGGCATATTTATTTATATATATAAAAAAATAACGTTTGCGTCACGCGCAACGATTGGCAGTTTGCCCAGGACTAGTCCATCTATTTTTTGAAAAGAGGAGGGGGGAGACGAAATTTGTTTTTATGTATGCTGTCTGAAAGCCACTGTAAGCGTGAACAATCAATCAAGAACTGAAATGATTTATCAAATCTTTCCAATGATTGCTAAGATAGAATCCATCTTCTCGGTTGAAATTGTCTCTGTGCTTGTATATGTGGATAGCCTCATGAACGAATCTCTCATGGAAGCCAGATGGCTTACAAAGAACCTCCGTCTTGGAAAAGTCAATGGCATGTGAGCCTACTGAATTAGAACAATGATCTGCTACGGCCGAGGTGTTGGTCCTACCGTGTTTAAGGTCTGCTTTATGTTCACGAATGCGGTCCGAGATATGGCGTTTGGTTTCTCCAATGTAACTACTACCACAGAGGCAACTTAGTTTGTAGACACCAGGGTATTGTATGTCCGGAATCACATCTTTTACAGACGGAACCAGATCACGGATTTTATGTAATGTTTAACCAATACATACTTCACTTGGAATGGAACTTTCTACAAACAAACTGAGGGCACCCCAATGGGCTCCCCCCTTTCTCCAGTTATAGCTAACATTTTCATGGAGAAATTTGAGACTGACGCCATCCAGACTGCCACTCTGCGCCCAACCTTATGGAAGAGGTACGTGGATGACACTTTTGTCATCTGGCCACATGGCCGGCCTGCTCTTGACCAATTCTTCGACCACATCAATTCCATACACCCAGCCATCAGATTTACCATGGAAGTCGAAATAGATGGCAAGATACCTTTTTTGGATGTCCTAATTAAAAAGAGACCTGATGGTTCAATGAGCCACTCTGTCTACAGGAAAGCTACCCATACGGATGCTTATCTGAAACCGGATTCCCACCACCATCCATCACAGAAGAATTCTCTCATCAAGACTCTGTATCATAGAGCCCAATGCATATCCGACCAGGAACACATAAGCAGTGAACTCAAGCACGTACACCAAGCTCTTAGGGCTAATGGTTACTCCGACTATACAATCCGCAAAGCTATCACTCAAACCATGAAGAAGAACCCTCTTGAGGAGCCTTTCAAAACCATCACTTTACCCTACATTGCTGGGATCACAAAAAAGATCTCCAAAATCTTGAATAAACACAAGATCCAGGTCCGTTTCAACACATTACATAAAATCCGTGATCTGGTTCCGTCTGTAAAAGATGTGATTCCGGACATACAATACCCTGGTGTCTACAAACTAAGTTGCCTCTGTGGTAGTAGTTACATTGGAGAAACCAAACGCCATATCTCGGACCGCATTCGTGAACATAAAGCAGACCTTAAACACGGTAGGACCAACACCTCGGCCGTAGCAGATCATTGTTCTAATTCAGTAGGCTCACATGCCATTGACTTTTCCAAGACGGAGGTTCTTTGTAAGCCATCTGGCTTCCATGAGAGATTCGTTCATGAGGCTATCCACATATACAAGCACAGAGACAATTTCAACCGAGAAGATGGATTCTATCTTAGCAATCATTGGAAAGATTTGATAAATCATTTCAGTTCTTGATTGATTGTTCACGCTTACAGTGGCTTTCAGACAGCATACATAAAAACAAATTTCGTCTCCCCCCTCCTCTTTTCAAAAAATAGATGGACTAGTCCTGGGCAAACTGCCAATCGTTGCGCGTGACGCAAACGTTATTTTATATATATATATATATATAAATAAATAAATATGCCGTTTTCAAAATAAATTTATGCAAACCGACACACCTGATGATGACCGTTTGAGTTATGGTCGAAACGTCGTGATAATTTTTTATTGTTTTATATATATTTTGTTATTTTGTTGTTTCTCTTCAACGTGACTTTACCGAAAAAACTAAGAATATAAATAATTCATCGTTACCAGCGTTGGGCCGTGAGCGGGAATCGAACTTTGGTAGCGAGTGGCGAGCCTGTGGTGCTAGAGGAGAGTGGGGGGGGCAGAGAGCGCTTAGTGGACGAGCGCTGAGCAGGACGTCTCTCTGCACAACAACAACAAGACCACCACCACCACACGTACACAGACCCAACCACTCGTGTCTTAACACACCGTGCACGGAAGTGGCACCGTTTCGTACGATAGATATAATTTTTTCAGAATAGTTATTTAGACTGGAGGAATCCGATGAGCTATAAAGCTCTCTTTTCACAGATGTTCAGTAGGAATACCTGTCAACCCCTTATCAGTGCCCTACCTTATCACAGACAAATTCCAACCTTATTAGTCACCCCGTGCCATAATAAATCTCAACGTTCATCCTAAATAGTCCCATCACAAACAAATAGACAAAAACAGTTTTTGCCCTAATGAAACGGCTGTACGCCGTAAGGTCCTGAAAACTCAATTTCCCTGTACGGGAATAAGGGTACACCGTATGGGTTGACAGCTGTGAGTGGGGGCACGTGGTCAGAACGTTACAACAGCACACAATACAAACAACATGACAGGAGTGGAAGGTATTGGAAAGGTAAACAAATCACTTGAAACAAACTATACAAATAAAACTAAACTACTTTGTTTTTTATCTTACCAGGTAAAGCCCACTGAGCGATGAGCTTATTTTTCAAAAGCGACCTGGCTGTCACAAATGATAGCTCCACGAAGTGGCTTATCGCGTGGAACTGTTTTGCACCAAAATATCCTCAATAACCTAAATGCATTCCCAAGGGGCTCTGCCACGGTTGGCTACCTGGTCGAGGTTTTGCCGGTCAGCCCTTGGCGCGGGAGTTCTCTGCTCTAGCCGCGGTCGGCGTGTCCTCTCGTAGCAAATCTCTGCCTGTTGCCGAAGGTACCCCGGGTGAACTGGTGTCTGGCAGCCCACCCGCCTCACGGTACAGAGGTCAAAACCCATAGGTCACGCCTCGAGAGGGAGGCCGCATGATCAGCAGGTTGCCGAGACTGGAATCCTTCTTGGTGATGGATCGTGGCTAGAGGGGAGCTCCGAGCGGGCGATTAATGACCGCTTTCCTTGACGCAAGCAACCTGTTCCATGACAAATGACGCATCAACGTGTCTAACTTCTGTTGCAGACAATTACACGAACTGGGCAGTCAACATTTCATCTCTCGTATCTCGGAATGTTTTTGGCATAACTCTCTTGTGGCCTGACTTTGAAGAGCCAAGAAGAATCTGGACGAGTCTCTTCGAAACAGAGATGATCGTCGGGTAGATGATGCCACGGCCGGTCGATTCCATCCATTGCCAAATATAAATCTACGAGACATGTGCATCATCATCGAGCCAGAAAAAAACACATTTGACCCACACAAATGGCACGACACACGCTACACGAATACCGTCATGCCAGAAGCTGCACCCACCACCACCACACACTGTGGTGCAACAGCCGCGTCCCAAACAAGTTGTTATTACGCGGAGTGGACATTTTAACCTGCCGTCCTCGATGGCGTTTCAAGCACTGCTTTTACAATCGCTATCAAAAATCAGCCCACGGCGTTCGGTTGGTGGTGCTCACGACGTTTTAAAATAGCCTCGTCCGGGCACTGGAACTGTGTCTTGGGTGCTACGAGGACAAAGATTTGAAGTAAATTTATGTTAACTCGTACATTTTAACCGTATATACATAATCTCTTAACTGTAATTCTTACGCATCTTATTGTTAGTTTTCATGTTCGGTTGGAAACACTTAAAAGTCTGTGCTCTCCAGTTTCCTGCCATGAAAGTGGACCTCAGTTTTTTGCCCAATCCTTCCACAGGAGGCTCAAACAAACTTAATAAAGGAACATGCCGGGCGCAATAACACAGGAGGAGCTGTTGCATGCTAACCATGGGTGCTTGCAACAATCACAGACACAAAGACCCCCCAGTGTCGCATTAACAGACTGTTGGGGCAAGTGCTGTTAGCGAACAGCACCTATGAAGGCCAGCACTGTGGCACACGAGGGGTTGGGTGGCCAGCACCATGCCCGGCCACCTTTGTCTCCCTCGTGACGATGTTTACACACCACACCGGGTACTCAATTGAGGCTGAGTCGACCTAAGGCGAGGCCCACGACCGGTTCAGATAATCGTCACCGGTGTTGGCCGTGAGCGGGAATCGAACTCGGGACCGGGTTCGTAGCGCACGGCAATAGACACGTCGAGCCCCGAAGCACAAATCGCGTACGCCTGCTGTAGCTCGCACAATCATGCGCGCGTGCACACGCTCACCGCTTTGCACACTGGCGCGCGCACATCCCAATTAGCACAGTTGGCTACGTGCGGTGCGAAAGAAGTTCAGCGTATGGCACATATGTAATAACAGGGCGCCGTGGTCTGCCAGCTCTGAACCAAATTCTTCAACCACATCAATTCCATACACCCAGCCATCAAATTCACCATGGAGGTGGAAAAGGATGGCAAGTTACCATTCTTGGATGTTTTAATCGAAAAAATACCTGATAGCTCAATGGGACACTGTCTACAGGAAAGCCACTCACACGGATGCCAATATAAAACCTGACTCCCACCACCATCCAGCCCAGAAGAATTCCCTCATCAAAACCCTACACCACAGGTCTCGTTGCATTTACGACCATCACCACCTAGCCAGTGAACTGGAGCACGTACACCAAGCTCTCAAGATGAATGGATATTCGGATTGCACAATCTGTAAAGCTGTCACCCCAACCATTGGGAGAGAACCACCTGAGGACCCAATCAAAACCATCACCTTGCCATACATAGCAGGGGTCACCAAAACTATTTCAAAATCATGAGCAAACACAAGATCCAGGTCTGATTCAACACAGTACATAAAATTCGTGATCTGATCCCATCTGTGAAGGATGTAATCCCTGACATGCAATACCCCGGTGTCTACAAACTAAGTTGTGCCTGCAGCAGTAGTTACATTGGAGAAACCAAGCGACATGTCTCAGACCATGTTCGTGAACACAAGGCGGATCTGAAACACGGTAGGACCAACACCTCTGCCTGGGCTGATCGTTGTTTTAACGCTGTGGGCACACGTGAAATAGATATCTCCAAGACTAAGGTACTATGCAAACTCACTATCAACAAAGATCTGGTCATTAAGCCATCCAGATATATAAACACAGACACAATTTCAACCGAGATGGTTACAAACTGATCAATCACTGGAAGAATGTCAACCAGGTGAAGTCATAACTTGCTGTGATGCTTCCATCCTACCTGCCGATGTTAGCAGTTATTTCCGACTCTCTGAGTTACATTACTTTGTTAAATGTCTTTACATTAACAGGCTAAATGTCTCACTAACATAGCCGCTGTTTCCCTTTTCCTCGATGTGGCGGTGGCTCTCGTTGCTCAATAGGCTGAATGTGTCTCATTAACACAGCCGCTGCTGCGGGAGACATCTCACATTGACATGCTAATCTCTAATCTCACCGTAGTCGTGGGATTACATTATCAGGTTGACATGCTAATCTCTAGCAACACAATTGCCGAGGTATATTACTGTAAATTCCATCCTTAGCCCCGCCCACTTACCCTTGGGTTGTACCCATCTCAAACCTTTATAACCTCTTGCTGCAGTAGCTCTCCCGTTATATTTCTCCTGCCTCAGCAGTTCGCCTGCTGTATTTTTCACCTGAAGACGATTGCTCGTGTTGCGATCGAAACGTCGTGATTGTTTTCATTATTTTTCTATCTTCGTGACTTTACCGAAAGACCCAGAGAGGAGGAGGGATAATCACGAGTATGGGTGCGTTATATAATAACCAACTAGCAGAGGGGCGTAACTGGGTTAAAGGTAAAGGGCGGGGTCAGTCGGGAAGCTCCGGGAACCTGCTCGAAGGTTCTAGAAGGAGGCGTGGCCGGAGGCAGGGCCTGGCCACGCCGAGGAGTATATAGGGGGACGTGACCGAAGGTTCGGGGCTGTGGTGGGGTCCCGGGTCCTGGCTGCCCTTGCTGTCTTCACCGTCATCTCTTCGTCATCGTCCGGCCGCGTGGCCGATCCTCTGCACGGCTCCCATCGTCGCCGTCGCTATATTAGTCAGCCAGCTATAGAGTTAGACGCCGACGATGGGGCTGCGTAGATGGGTCAGCTCTGCGTAGCCGTGTATATGTGTCGCCCAGGGATTGTGCCCGCAGTGTGAGAAATAAATAAGAATCCCTCTACACGTTGTGTCTCGCAAGTCGCTCACTACGCATACAAGGGTGGCTCGTCGCCACCTCTCGCGTGTCAGTCGTGGGGCGCGAGCAGCACAAGGGAGTGGTGGCTCTCTACCACTGGGTCCGTGGGACTTATCACTATCAACGATTTACAACAGAACGGAGGCCTCTCGAGGGGACACTAATATTTTGGCCGGTCTCATTTCATACGACATCATCCGTGTAATTTGCATCACAGGACGCTGTAATTCATAAAGGTTTTCGGGTTAGATCGCGTAAGTATAAATGTTGTGTCAAAACCCTCCACCACCCGACACAGCCAATTAGTAAGGCATTTGTCATGTAAACAAAACGCCAAATAGTTACTACTTCAGCCCACCAGTGTGTTGGAGAGTAAATCCACAACATTTACCATTTCAGTACCGTGACGTTTCACTGGTAATTACATCCAGCGTCATCGGGCGATTTGCAAGAATAGTGAAGCCATCCACCTGCTTCCGCTCTTGCATAGAGCAGCAGGATAATGGTTGCCCCGATTTCTAATGGAGGCACGGCAAGGCAGCCAGGACCGGACCTGTACATTGCCATATTTTGGGGTGATTGTGTTTATAACATACGTGTGGGCAGAGCCACCTTCCTCACCAACCACACAGACCTCTGACCACCCACCCACCACCACCAACAACCACCACTCACCTCGCCATGTCCTCCACAGCCGTCTCTCTTCCTCCACTGTCACAGTTGCCACTCCGCCACGTCGACACATGTGTGTGTGTCTGCGTCTCGCCGAGTGTGCCCTGGGTGAGGGAGGGAGACGTGTGTGATGAAGAGGGGGGGGGTCTCCGAGTCGACAGATTTTTAATTCCCGACCACCACAACAACAAGACTGTTCAGGGGGTCGATTGCCAAATGCTTGCGGGCACTCCAGAAAGACAAACCCACACAAGGGACACACACAGTGGGGTAACATCATGCCCAGTTCACTCTCACACACAGTGGGGTAACAACATGCCCAGTTCACTCACATACACAGTGGGGTAACAACATGCCTAGTACACTCACACACGCACAGTGGGGTGACAACATGCCCAGTTCACTCACACACACAGTGGTGTAACAACATGCCCAGTTCACTCACACACACACAGTGTGGTAACAACATGCCCAGTTCACTCACACACAGCGGGGTAACATCATGCCCAGTTCACTCACACACACACAGTGGGGTAACATCATGCCCAGTTCACTCACACACACAGTGGGGTAACATCATGCCCAGTTCACTCACACACATTGGGGTAACATCATGCCCAGTTCACTCACACAGTGGGGTAACAACATGCCCAGTTCACTCACACACACAGTGGGGTAACAACATGCCCAGTTCACTCACACACACAGTGGTGTAACAACATGCCCAGTTCACTCACACACACAGTGGGGTAACATCATGCCCAGTTCACTCACACACACAGTGGGGGTAACATCATGCCTAGTTCACTCACACAGTGGGGTAACATCATGCCCAGTTCACTCACACACACAGTGGGGTAACATCATGCCCAGTTCACTCACACACACAGTGGGGTAACATCATGCCCAGTTCACTCACACACACAGTGGGGTAACAACATGCCCAGTTCACTCACACACACAGCGGGGTAACATCATGCCCAGTTCACTCACACACACAGTGGGGTAACATCATGCCTAGTTCACTCACACACACAGTGGGGTAACATCATGCCCAGTTCACACACACACACAGTGGGGTAACATCATGCCCAGTTCACTCACACACACAGTGGGGTAACATCATGCCTAGTTCACTCACACACACAGTGGGGTAACATCATGCCCAGTTCACACACACACACAGTGGGGTAACAACATGCCCAGTTCACTCACACACAGCGGGGTAACATCATGCCCAGTTCACTCACACACACAGTGGGGTGACAATATGCCCAGTTCACTCACACACACCGTGGGGTATCATCATGCCCAGTTCACTCACACACAGCGGGGTAACATCATGCCCAGTTCACTCACACACACAGTGGGGTGACAACATGCCCAGTTCACTCACACACACCGTGGGGTATCATCATGCCCAGTTCACTCACACACACAGTGGGGTAACAACATGCCCAGTTCACTCACACACAGCGGGGTAACATCATGCCCAGTTCACTCACACACACAGTGGGGTGACAACATGCCCAGTTCACACACACACACAGTGGGGTAACAACATGCCCAGTTCACTCACACACACAGTGGGGTAACATCATGCCCAGTTCACTCACACACACAGTGGGGTAACATCATGCCCAGTTCACTCACACACACAGTGGGGTAACATCATGCCCAGTTCACTCTCACACAGTGGGGTAACATCATGCCCAGTTCACTCACACACACAGTGGGGTAACAACATGCCTAGTTCACTCACACACACACAGTGGGGTAACAACATGCCCAGTTCACTCACTCACACAGTGGGGTAACATCATGCCCAGTTCACTCACACACAGTGGGGTAACAACATGCCCAGTTCACTCACACAGTGGGATAACATCATTCCCAGTTCACTCACACACACAGTGGGGTAACATCATGCCCAGTTCACTCACACACACAGTGGGGTAACATCATGCCCAGTTCACTCACACACACAGTGGTGTAACATTATGCCCAGTTCACTCTCACACACAGTGGGGTAACAACATGCCTAGTTCACTCGCACACACGGACAAAGTCCTCTTCTGTGCCTTACAAAATGAAATAATTTTCTACCTCCGTGATGACTTTACCGAAAGAACCAAAGAGTATGAATTCCTGCAGTCAGGAAAGCTTCAAATCAAGATTGAAACAGTTTATATTTGTAATACTGCATTGGCAGCGAAGTGTTATACAGCAACAAATAACGAAACAACTCAACAGACTCATGAATAATAATCATACTAACACTCTCGAAGGGAAACAAATATAAATGTATACTAAATATATATAATCGGCATGACATTTTAGGCATTGGCCCTTATAGACGGGATATTCGCCAACACCCATTATTTTTCTTTTAAAGTTTGGGAACCACTGACTTAAAGACTATTGGCAATAATTTGTTTTATTTTACCAAGTAATGCCCACTAAGCTATGGAGCTCTTTTGTTTCAGAAGCGACCCCCTGAATATCACAAATGATAGCTCAAGGAAGTGGATTATTATTATCATATGGTGATTTATAGCAGCAGTCAAATACTCTAAACGCGTGTTTCTAAATGTCGAGCACCCTGACAAAAATTCGCAAACTCCAAATATACAGCAGGTATCGTCAGGGTCGGGATCAAATCCACGACCTCCTGTACACCAGGCGAGGTAGTTAATATCGCTTAGCCACCCTGATGATGATGAGAACGAGAGACACACAAACTCCAATTATACAGCAGGTATCATCAGGGTCGGGATCGAACCCACGACCTCCTGTATACCAGGCGAGGTAGTTAACATCTCCTAGCCACCCTGATGATGATGAGAGCGAGAGACACACAAACTCCAAATATACAGCAGGTATCGTCAGGGTTGGCATCGAACCCACGACCTCCTGTGTTCCAGGCGAGGTAGTTAACATCTCATAGCCACCGTGGCGCCCCAAAGACGAGCCAAGAGCGACTTCCAATAATTATCCGATAATTGTTGCTAATGCGGATGAGAGGAATCCTAGATGATTGTGGCACAGCCATACCGTTGGGTGACACACTTGGGCTCCTCTCTCGGTAGACTGTGCCCAAGCTCAACACTGGGCCAAAGGTCACAGTGGGTTGTCCCCTGGGTGCATTAATGAGGGTGGGCGGCGCAGTTGTGGTCATCAAGTGACACGCGCACAGCGCGCACGTCACTTTCATCATCATCATCCACCCCTCCTCGCTCGCTCGCCAGAAAAAAACATCACAAACCACGTGGCACACACCATCACGCGCCACTCACACACCATCACGCGCCACTCATACACCATCACACCCCACTCACACACCATCACACGCCACTCACACACCATCACACACTACTCACACACCATCACACACCATCACGCGCCACACACACCATCACACACCACTCACACACCATCACACGCCACTCCCACACCATCCCACACCATCACACGCCACTCACACACCATCACACGCCACTCACACACCATCACACACCACTCACACACCATCACACACCACTCACACACTATCACACCCCACTCACACACCATCCCACACCATCAAACGCCACTCAGACACCATCACACGCCACTCACACACCATCCCACACCATCACACACCATCACACACCATCACACGCCACTCACACACCATCACACACCACTCACACACCACTCACACACCATCACACGCCACTCACACCATCACACACCACTCACACACCATCACACACCACTCACACACCATCACACACCATCACACGCCACTCATACACCACTCACACACCATCACACACCATCACACACCACTCACACACCATCACACGCCACTCACACACCATCACACGCCACTCATACACCATCACACGCCACTCACACACCATCACGCGCCACTCACACACACCACACCATCCCACGCCACTCACACAGAGAAACACAGAGACACAGAGAAACACAGAGACACACAGAGGGACACATAGACACACATAGACACACAGAGAGACACAGACAGACACAGAGAGAGACAGAGGGACACAGACACACAGAGGGACACAGACAGACACAGACAGACACAGAGAGAAACAGGACACAGAGACACAGATGGACACAGAGAGACACAGACAGACACAGAGAGACACAGAGAGAGACAGAGACATACAGAGGGACACAGAGACACACAGAGGGACACAGACAGACACAGAGAGACAGAGGGACACAGAGACACAGAGGGATACAGAGAGACACAGACAGACACAGAGAGAGACAGAGGGACACAGAGAGAGACAGAGGGACACAGAGAGAGACAGAGGGACACAGAGACACACAGAGGGACACAGACAGACACAGAGACAGAAGGACACAGAGACACACAGAGGGACACAGAGAGACACAGAGGGACACAGACACAGAGAGAGACAGAGACACACAGAGGGACACAGACAGACACAGAGAGAGACAGAGGGACACAGAGAGAGACAGAGGGACACAGAGAGAGACAGAGGGACACAGAGACACACAGAGGGACACAGACAGACACAGAGACAGAAGGACACAGAGACACACAGAGGGACACAGAGAGACACAGAGGGACACAGACACAGAGAGAGACAGAGACACACAGAGGGACACAGACAGACACAGAGAGAGACAGAAGGATACAGAGGGACACAGAGAGACACAGATGGACACAGAGAGACACAGATGGACACAGAGAGAGACAGAAGGACACAGAGAGACACAGAGGGACACAGAGAGACACAGAGGGACACAGACAGACACAGAGAGAGACAGGGACACACAGAGGGACAGAGACACACACAGAGAGAGACACAGAGACACACAGAGAGACACAGAGGGACACAGAGACACACAGACACAGAGGGACACAGAGAGACACAGAGGGACACAGACAGACACAGAGAGAGACAGGGACACACAGAGGGACAGAGACACACAGAGAGAGACACAGAGACACACAGAGAGACACAGAGGGACACAGAGAGACACAGAGACACACAGAGAGACACAGAGGGACACAGAGAGACACAGAGGGACACAGACACAGAGAGAGACAGAGGGACACAGTTCGTGTCGTTTTGCCGTTTCTCGTGCACCTCGATCCCGCTGTTGAAGAAGGCAGCGGAGACTTTCACCACGGCGCTTTAACAACCCAGGCGGGGGGGGGGGGTGCCGTGCGTGGCGGGTCGCGTGGCCACAGCGTGGCCACAGCGGCCACGACTCGCGGGCCCTGTGGCGGGTCGCGTGGCCACAGCGTGGCCACAGCGGCCCCGACTGGCGGGCCCTGTGGCGGGTCGCGTGGCCACAGTGTGGCCACAGCGGCCCCGACTGGCGGGCCCTGTGGCGGGTCGCGTGGCCACAGCGGCCTCGACTGGCGGGCCCTGTGGCGGGTCGCGTGGCCACAGCGGCCCCGACTGGCGGGCCCTGTGGCGGGTCGCGTGCTCCACTCCCCCAGTCGTGGAGGGAGACGCGGCGCATTCCCCCACTGCGTTTTGCCGTTTAGGGCGTTAGGCAAAAGGTCGTAACGAACGAGACAGAGCAAACGAGACAGACTAAAAACGAGACAGACTAAAAACGAGACAGCGAACGAGACAGACTAAAAACGAGACAGACTAAGAACGAGACATACTAAAAACGAGACAGACTAAAAACGAGACATACTAAAAACGATACAGACTAAAAACGAGACAGACTAAAAACGATACAGACTAAAAATGATACAGACTAAAAACGAGACAGACTAAAAACGAGACGTACAACACAGACGGGGCAGACAACGCAAACGAGACAGCGGAGACAAGTAACACAATGCAGAGCAGGGGGGACACACCAGGGGGGTCCACGTTTTGCAAGCGTAGAGAAGGGAGGGAATGACCGTGGCCGAGAAGACCTGAAGCTTAATGCGGAGCGACAGACCAGGTAGCTTCCACACAGCGTTACGCAACCGATTAAAAGGGGGGGGGGGCAGGGACGAGGCAGGGGGGGGGGCCGGGGGCTGGCAGGGGGGGGCAGGGACGAGGCAGGGGGGGGTAGGGACGAGGCAGGGGGGGGCAGGGACGAGGCAGGGGGGGGGCAGGGACCAGACGGGGGGGGGCAGGGACGAGGCAGGGGGGGCAGGGACGAGGCGGGGGGGGGCAGGGACGAGGCAGGGGGGGGCAGGGGGGGGCAGGGACGAGGCGGGGGGGGGGCAGGGACGAGGCAGGGGGGGCCGGGGGGCGGGTAGGGACGAGGCAGGGGGGGGGGGCAGGGACCAGGCAGGGGGCTCACCAGTGAAGTGGCTGCGAGTGGTTTTGCACTTGAGCCGAGTCAGCAAAGAGCCTCGCGGTTCACCGCGGTCCCTCACCGCCCCTCGCACGAGACGGCTGGCGGGGCGGGGGTGCCACTTAGGGGTCGCGGTGAACTGTCTGGGGTGTCCCAGGCGACGTCGGTGGTTGTTGTTGTTGTGTCACTTGGCTGCGCTTTGAGTTCGACGATGTTGACAACAACAAACAACAAAGTCGCCTTCGTGTATTCCCGTGTGGTGGTGGTGTCGCCGCGACGATGATGTCTTATTATATTTATGAATCATGCATATCAATAGTAATATTTATATGCAGACATTAAGCCCCCCCACCCCCGACTTCTGGTCTTCGCATCTGATCGGCTCACGACTTCACCGAAGACCCAACGATTATGAATTCCTGCAGTCACGAAAGCTTTAAGTGAAGATACATTTATTTATGTTTCTGCCTTGTGATGGCACTTTGTAGGATGGACGTTGAGATGTATCAGGGCACGGGGTGACCACTGAGGTCTGAACATGGTTGTAATAATGTAGGGCAATGATAAGGGGTTGACAGCTGTGTTACCACCACCACTATCACCACCACTATCACCACCACCACTACTACTACCACCACTACCACCACCACTACTACTACTACCACCACTACCACCACCACTACCACTGCCACTACTACCACTACCACCACCACCACCACTATCACCACTACTACCACCACTACTACCACCACCACTACCACCACTACCACCACCACTACTACCACGACCACTACCACCACCACTACTACCACCACTACCACTACTACCACCACCACCACTACTACCACCACCACTACTACCACCACCGCCACTACCACTGCCGCCGCCACCACTACCACCACCGCCACCACCACTACTACCACCACCACCGCCACCACTACCACCGCCACCACCACTGCTACCACCACTATCACCACCACTACCACCACCACTACCACCACTACTATCACCACCACCACCGCTGTTGTCACCACTCCGCTGGTTTCTCAGTCGGGCCCTCGTCCAGCCACTGCCGCGGGGACGCCTCGTGGTGTCGTCTGTGCCCCCTCGTTCGATGGGATCGCGCCATGTGCCGCAAATAAGCGGCATTCATTTGAAACACTTGTGGTGCCGCCGCAGCGGAGCCGCTCCAGCGGAACCACGCCCACCACCGCGACGCCGTCACCGATGCCTCGGATTTCCCGCCACTCTCCCGGGGCCCGTGCCTTCTCAGATGTCCGCGTTTTGCCCACTGCACAGTCGTGAGGCCGCCGCAGCAGGGCCGCTCTGCCGAGGTCGTGCCCACCGCCACGAAGCCGCCACCGGGGGATGCCGACGCCGACGCGGTGCATCCTCGCCACCCCCCCCCCCCCCCGCACGAACGCACACACGCCCCACGTAGAGCCGGGAGGGGAGGTCACCCGGCTGATAGGTTTTTGTCCAGAAGTCCCTAGTGGGATCGAACTTCATGGTTTCCTGCGGCCGGGAAATTGGGCGCTCTTCCCCCTGTAGCTGACATGCACTGCGGCGCCGCGACCTAATATTAAAGTTGCATGGTCACGGCAAGGGCCATCGAACCACCGGAAGTGGAGCCACACACGCACAAGCACGGGTCAGTGGGCTGGTAGCGGGAGAACAGAGAGCGGACGTCGGTGAGATCACTGCGGCGACGTCACCCGAGCTGGGATCCGGGTATCGATAGGGCGGGAAAATCCGAGCCCCTGATTGGTTTGGAGGCCAAGAGACCAAAACGGCGAAATTCCTTTGTTGTAGGTAGGATCAAGGGAGGGGGATTCAGGTAGGAAGTGAGTTCTTCTTTAAGATCATCGCGGTTCCAGGAGCAGCAGAGTCAGCCGTCCGAGACGTCCGTGAGACGTACTCCAGCACCGACAGGCTCGCCCCTCTAACGAGTCAACTCGCCGCCTCGTCCCCCTTACAGCGGTCAGTACATC